GCGGCCGGTCCTCGCGCGGCCGTGCGGCGGCGGCGGCAGCGGCTCGCTCCGGGGGGTGCCGGCCGCGCCCTCCTAGCCAGGGAGGCGGCCGGGGGCGAAACGTGACGCTGGGCGGAAATGAAGGCTGGCTCGCGGGCGGCGGCCCGGCTGCGTCTGCGGAGAGCGCGGGACCAGGCGCGAGCCTGCTTCCCCCGCTGGCTGGCCTTTTCAGAAAAGCGCCCAAGCACGGGATCCCTTCCCAGAGCGCAGGAATAGGCGCGAGGAAGGCGGTGATTGGAATTCGCTCTGCTCACCTCCCAACAGATGTGCTAAACTAGCAGTGCCCAGATATCCTTCGGGAAGTTGCAATCCAGCCGATCTGAGGGCACCAAATTGAAGAAGGCAATTCAGCACAACCGTGTTTGAGATGCTTTGCTTCAGACGTAATGCGGTCATAGAGTTTGCAACTTTCACTCACCCTTCATAAAAATGGGTGGTGGCCAAGCAGGTATTTGAACATGAATGGTAAAATGGTTGTGTAAGCATGCATACCAACTTTCACTGTTAGGGAAACATCTTGAAGGGAGATGAGCAGTGTAAGCATGCAGTGTATTTTTCTCAGGCCTCTTAAACATGGGGATGGAGCTGGCCAAATGCATTTGGAATGTGTAAAGTGTAAATCCAGGTGATGCATCGAAGAAAAGAAAATCAATCACAACTGGAAATAATCAGAGGAAGGTGAGACGTCATTGGGAAAACATTAGGCTTTCTTTATTATTTATTTAAAACATTTGTATGGCACCTATTGCTCCATAGCATCTCTAGGCAGCTCACAAGTCATTCAACAATTGGATTCTCTCTCTCTCTCTCTCTCTCTCTCTCTCTCTTCTGTTCCTCTAGTCACTTTATTATTACTATATTATGTTGTGTATAAGATGTTTTAGTGCATATTGAAGTGTTTCTTAAATGTTTTATATGCTTTATGTATATGTGATCTAACTTACATGCAAATTCGACTTACGGATGATCTCAGGAACAGAGCTCATTCTTAACCCAGGGACTGTGTGTAGTTCATCTTACTGACATCTTAGATCCGGGTTCCATTTCCTCACTAATCAAAAGTAAAAAACTGACCAGAAAACAACCTTCTTTATTAGCTGGAAATCATTACTTGCATCACATCTTTGATCAATACCATGTGGCGCCATGAAGGGGTCTCTGTGTGTATGCATGTAGCAATAATTCAGTGTATTGTTACAGCTTGTCTTTATGACAAATTAATTGCTGTATGTCATTCATTGAATACCATCATTGTAAAATATTTTTTAAAAACGTTCTTGCTTTCTTCAGGGTTAAGAGAAAAAAGATGTATATCTTCCTCCATTGTCTCTAACAAATAGGACCACAGAATGAGGATTTCAGAGAAATCTGCAGTGGATTTATACAAGTTTGAAGTTCTATAAATCTGACCTCCCGGATTTTTTATTTTGTTTTTCCCTTTGGTTGGATTTATGCAGAACTGCACATTTGCACCAATGCAAGGTTGTGTAAACACGGACTAGTGCAAGTAGAGCAAAATTCTCATAAAAATATAGTTCCTTCAATTAGTAATTAATGGAATGGAAGACACCGGAAAGTTGGGAGCCAGTGGAGTGTGGTGGTCAGAGTATTGGAGTGAGGAACTGAGAGATCCAAGTTCTAGTCCCTACTCAACCAAGAAACTCACTGGGTCACTTTGCACCAGTCACTCTTTCTTATCCGAACCTTCCTCATAGGCATGTTGTGAGGATAAAATGGAGCTGTATAAACTGCCCTGTATTCTTCACAAGAGAAAGAAGACAGACTATATAATGCAATGTAACAATACCTGGGACGAGAGAACCCTTAGACGTGGGTTTCTAATGTAACTTGCCCTTCTTTTAGGCAGGGTTCTCTGCCTAAGGAGTTTAGGGAGACTTTGCTTAAGTCACTCCCCATGGGCAGCCGATATTCTCCACCTAAACAATAAACCAGGCAGCTGTTCTTTTCTCAGCTGGTCTGCTTGCCTGCTTTCAATAAATATTTGCTGGTGGGTGGGATTTGAAAATACAACTTAGGTGTTATGAGAGGTGAAACTGATTAAAATGAAATGTCAAATCCATTTTTTAAAAGTCAACTTCTAATGCCTCAAGAGGTCAAACCAAGAGCATTCTCAGGAATGTTACAAATTGCTAAGGATGTATAAGAATATTGTTTGGGTTCATTTTTAGTTCAACATTTCCCCATTCACAACCATGAACATGAATGGAAGTACCATCTTCCAGAAAAGCCAGCAAGTTCCCAAATTTGTGGACATATTTTTAAAAAGTGCCTTCTTTAAAATTACCTGCTTCTACCCATTCCTTGATGGGGAAGGATAATATTTTGGCTGCCAACTTTAATAAATGCGCATCATAATGCACATTTTTCCAGTTCAGAAGGGGAAAAAAACTTTTGGAAACAAGATAAACCATATTCTGATGTGAAAATAGACTCAGCAAGGTCTGTTGCTGAGAATCCATACAGATTCTCTCATCTCTACAAACTGCACCTCAAAGCTGTTCTTCATGCCATTACACCAACTCGTTATGAACAGATGCACATTTTAAATTCTTTGTTTCAGGTTACTAAAAATGATATGTATTAAAATTGATAATTCCTGAGAACCAGAAGTTATTTATTTACCTACTTACTGGCCTTCATTTTTGCAAGCAAATTTCCAAATCTGTCCTGCTGCCAAGTGGTTCACTGTCTTTTCCTTGGACATTTCTGCTGCCAAATTAGTCCAATTCCATCACAGCCTCTTTGCATTGTGCTTCAGCCAATCTGCAGCCTACACTTCCTCTGCCAAGTGAAACCAAACATGCCATTATCTTTAACGTTAATGCTTTTATTACAAGATAAACACATAACAGAGAAGAAACCCTAAGGATGTGATATGCATCCCAAGCTTAGAAGCCATCCTAGATTATTGAGGGAGTGGGGTGTCACATTTTGCCAGCTCGGAAATACAGCATTGGCCTTTCTTGCAATTCATTTACTTCGCAAAGAAGCAATTTAATTTCTTATTGCCAAAACTGGCCTGTTTTCCAGGTACTGGGAGTTTCCTGTATGCATCCACATTGCCCATGCCTGAGTCCTTAGCACTGGGCTTTGCTGGACAACTAGTAAGGCTCAGAAATGAGAAATTTTGGACTGATCATGACATTTCTGGGAGATACTTCTAGCCATCCTTCTGGCAAAAGTTTCAGAAATACTGCCTTTTTTGGGTCATTTTTATTTGATGGTTGGATTTTTAAAGACAAGGCAATATATGTAACAATACATAAACCAGTAACGACAATGCAAATGAAAGATGAAAACAATGTAGAACTCATGCGATTGTACCTAAATTAAGTAGTTTGTTATAAATTTGTACCTAAATTTGGAGTTTGTTATAACAAATGTATCTCCTTTAGGAGACAAATACTGTCGCCCAAGTGATTCATACCAGGCGGTTGATTGGTTGGTTGGTTGGTTGGTTTTAAGGAATCACAGGCCATCCTGTCAGGTTGATGAACTAATAAGGCAGGTCACACAAGGGAGTCACAGTGTTGGAAGGCTCTTGGAAATCACAGAGTGCAGCCTTCCCCAACATGGTGGCCTTCAGAGGGGTTTGGACCACAACTCCCAGAATTCCCATCCACCAAGTCCATTGACTGGGAATGTGTTTATGTATTTATTACATTTGCAGGCTGCCCCACTGCCAAGGGCTCTCTGGGTGTTGCAGTCCAAATGTGTCTGGAAGGCTGATACAGTGCGACTAGCAATACAATCCAGGACCTGCAACGCAGGATGTAGCGACAGCATCTCTGAGGCTTATTTATTTATTAATTATTTGATTTATATGCTGCCCGACTAGCCATAGGCTCTCTGGGTGGCTTACATCATGATAAAATCCATATATACAACATAATAAACAAGACAATGTACAGCACAATAGACTCCACAATCGCAATGAGGTCAATAACTATAAAAATCCATAAATAAACTATTCCAAAATGAAATAAGACAATATAAGTATAATAAAACAAATAAAATGAATAGTATACAAAGGATCCAAAAATACCCATGAACCAATTAAAATTTAATTAATATCAATTTGTAGTAAAATCATAAAGTCAGCAGCATTTCATAGTATAAGATTTTCAAAACATCATTAATAATCAGAGATTCACCTATTAAAATAACGAACAAGAATGCCTGAAGTTTGTATCTAGAAACAAGGAGAAGAGGCGCCAACCAGACCTCCAGCCAAATCGCATTCCAGAGCCAGAGCATTATGGTTGAAAAAGCCCTCCTTGCAATCTCCTTTCTCTCTGTAATAGTGGGAGGAACGCTCAGGCGGGGCTGAAGACTGCAGTGAACGGGCTGGTGCATCTGGAGAAAGGTGCTCCCTGAGATGACCCAGCCCCAAACCATTTAGGGCGTTGCATGTTGCGTATTATGAGCACTTCGAACTGAGCGCAGACCACAACTGGCAGCCAGTGTACCCTGCACAAGACCAGTATGGAGGTTTAGACAACCAGCTTATACTAAAATGCCTTCAGCAAAAGAAAACCCACCGCCTCCTGAGGCAGTCTATCCCACTACCAGGTAATCTCTCACTATTAGGAAGTTACTTTTAAAGTTAAGCTGGAATCTGCATCCTGCCTCCAATTGCTTGTTCTAATCCTAGCCTCTAGAGAAGAATCTTGATTCTGACTAATATAACTTTCTGCCATCTTCAGATCTGATAAGCAGCGTGCTCCCTGCTTATCAAAGTCATTTATAAAAAATGTTGAACGTGCTCGGCCAAGGACAGATCCTTTCAGCAC